TCATGGGTGCAGGAGAGGAATGTTGTTAGGCGTGAGAAATTGATTTGTCACTGCAGCTTTGTGAGCAGATGCATTATCATGCATGAACGAGTGTTTTGAGGTTTGGTTTAGAAAGAAAGGCACAAAATGTTGCTCGAGAACTTGGTTGATGAAGCTTTGAGCTGATAGATTCTCATGAATAGGCACAAGAGCGGTCTTGTCAGCATCGCTGATTCCAGGCCACACCATGACGCTGCCTCTACCGAAATTATAATTTGCTTGTCTGACGTAAGCTTGTTTGTACCTTTCTTTGAGTCCTCTGTAGATTCTGGACAGTCCATCGTGTCGTTCCGGCTGAATTTGGGACTCATCTGAAAACATGTTTGTATTCCAAATACGACGTGGCTATCTCACGTTATACTGTGCCCAGTGAAGTCTGTTCTGGGTGTGAAGAGATTGTAGTTTTATACAGTAAACTGGGCTCCGGGTACAAAGGTTGCTTTCTATCTAATGACAAAGAACAGCCATGACAGAGATCGGATAGCCATTTTAAGTTCTGTTCAGCTCATTTCGGGTCTGTGTTGCGGTTTTTGAACGATTTATCAAATATTGCGTTCGAATGAGGGCGTCCTTCCTCCATTCTTGTGTGTGTGTATGTGTGTGTGTGTGTGTGTGTGTGTGTGTGTGTGTGTGTGTGTGTGTGTGTGTGTGTGTGTGTGTGTAAGGATCCATCTATGTATTATTACACAGACATCTTGTTATTATTACTATTATTATTATTAATATCGTCATTAGCAGAAGCATCATCATCGTCATTATTATTATTATTACTATTATTGTTATTGTTATTATTATTATTAATATTATTATTATTATTATTATTGTTGTTGTTGTTGTTGTTGTTATTATTATGATTACCATTATTATAATCATTATGATTCTGTTTTCTAAACCTTTAGGGGATATAATTTTTTAGGTAAGTGTTTTACGGCGCTCGCAATTGCATACGGCCATATGAGCGCACGGGACACATTAAATATTTTCAGTGGGTAGGAAATTTTGAATTTTGCCCGGGTGGCGCCGAAACCCACTCTTATCGATTTTGGACCACCAATGGGATCTTTAACGGTGTGCAACTTGCACACGGGACCCCCGAGATTTTTTCGCCCTTATACAAGAAGGCTAGGAGTTAAATCTTACCTACCATAAGATTAGGGGTGTTGCTGAAAGATAGCAGGAAGGAAGAGTCAAGGCGTAGAAGTACGAAAGGCTGCAGAAAGAGACAGGAGCCCAGAGGAGGGGCAACAGAGGTGAGGGTTGGGTGAAGAAAGTGGATGGAAGAGCAGAGGATAGAACTTCGTTAGAGAGCAGAAAGGAGAACATTTAAAAGATAGAAAATGTCCGTCGCTGTCCGGATTCGATCCCGGGACCTATTGAATGAGAGGCAAACAATGTAACCTCTCGACCACGAGAGCCCCTTTCTAAATGTGAGATATTCTTGCGAATTCGAAATGAATTGACAGCAGTATCCTCTGTGTTTTACCTTTCATCACGGTTAAGAGCGACTTCTCTCCATAAATTACGACGGTATTACTGTACTAAACGGGAAACTTGTGATTGACGTACATACAAGTCACTGATGAGTTAATAACGAAAGAAGAAGTGGGATTGGTTGGGACTGAAAATAAAGCCGAAGAAAGAAAAAGAAAAATCGAAGCATGGGATAAATTTTCTCTACCTTCAGGCTCGCATAAACATGCTTCTCTCCCTGTCATTTGAAACTTCCTTCTTTGCTTGGTCGTTAACCCTTCCCATTTTTTCCTCTTTTTTGTTTATGTTCTTCTTCGTCTCGCTGTCGCTTCACTCAATATTGTATTTTTCCCTTAATATTCTTCTTCCTCTCTCGCCCCCTCTTTTTCCTCCTCTTCTTACCATTTATCCCCCCCCCCCTCCTCGCCCATATCCCCCTTCTGCCCCTTTCCACACTCTTCCTCTCCCCTCCCCCATTCGTCTTCATTCTTCTTCTTCTTCTTCTTCTTCTTCTTCTTCTTCTTCTTCTTCTTCTTCTTCTTCTTCTTCTTCTTCTTCTTCTTCTTCTTCTTCTTCTTCTTCTTCTTCTTCTTCTTCTTCTTCTCTCCTCTTCCTTCCGTTGCACTTTACTGAGTTTCATAACTGAATTCTTAGGCTACTGTTTTCTTAAACATAGAAGAAATGTCACGCCCTGTCACAGCTAAAGAACTGGGGCACAGTTTCGTAATGTGTTGGATTTTTTTTCTAGTTCAAACAAAATTAATGCTTATATAAACTATTTGTTACTTTCCGTGCGTCATTTACCAGAATTGAATGAACGGTCCTTTTCGTTCCGAAAAGGTGAAGGCCGAAATTAGTGAAGCATGTCGAAGGCTGACCCGCCAACCGAGAGACTTCGTTCCCGAACCAAGCTGTTCTTCGGGTTTGAGGTAGCCACTCTGGGTGTTATTAACATTTTGTTCTTTTTCAACATTAACCTAAAAAGATGTTTCGTGGTTGGGTCACTCAGCTTAACACGTACTTTAGGAAATTTCCTTAAAGAACAAAATGTATTCGTAGAACTGGTATCATAGATTCAGCCATCTTTATTTTTGTTCCTACTCCAAGCTTCAATTCATTTATCAAAATGAAAATCTCCTCTACACAGTACTCTTCTATTAACGACACTAGGCAAAAGAGAAAATTGGATAGATGCTGGCTTTCCCCTTCTTGTACTTTTCATCGCGAATCCACTGAAGTCTGGAGCCAGTCCCTGCTTGACAGATCACTAAAAAGCTTCGTCTCGCAACAAAGCATTCCTGAGTCGGTGTCCTTCGCCGGTTTTTTTTAGATAAAGCAGTTCACTCGAACTGACTTTGCTTGGGTCCATAGGTCAGTGAAGGGGTCACTTGGTCTGCTGTGGCACATGTCCAGCCACGTTGTCGTGGGTGAAGTCACGTGCAGAGACCCATCACCACAACTTGAGGGACAAGTAAAGAAAGTTCAAGTGAAGGTGGTCTCTCTTTTCTGAGACACCCCAATATATCACTGAAAACAGTCTCATAATTTTAATGCACCCAAAAAATAATTGACGACATAATAAGATAAGTGCAAAATGATGTAATTTTAAACAGATACATTTTGAATTTGAAAAAAAAGATTACATTCCAAAAAGAATGCATTGCCGACAATACAACATTTTTTTATAATGCAAACTTTAAACTAAGGTTACTCTGGAGGCTGATACTGTGTGAAGTGTTTGTATGAGTGTTTTGAGTTCTTGTGCATTTTATATCAGAGTCCGATTTTGGGATTTAATGCCAAATCGTTTGAGCATGTCGTCACAGGGGATATAGAAGACTGCATAAGCACTTAATCTCTTGAATTTAACTACGGCCTCACAGGAGTAAACAAAAAAGAAACACATTTAGAGGAACAGTAACGAAGATAGAGGTCTACGCCAAAGTCTTAGTATAAATATTTTAGTAGTGTGCACCTTTTCTTCTAAAAGGGTGTCCAACTTCAGCACCGAAAAGTTGGTGAAAGTGTGTCAACCTATATCCAAAGACAATGTAAAAGTCTGTCTTATACCAATTGTAGGTTTAACCAGCGACAGTATACCCTTTAGCGGGGCATGGTCACATTTACATAAGAGTGTCTTGTTGTGAGGACGTTCTACTTGAGTGGCCATAGACTCTCCCACGATAGGAACTGACCACCCGAAGGTCGAAAAGTCTGTGGTTTAGTCCTATTGTTACGCTAAATAAACAGAGACGTGCACACAAAGAGAACAAGGGTGAGATATCTCTGAGGTCCTTGTTGTATAAGTTATAGCAACCAAAATAGTATTTAAACGACATGAGCTCGATATGCTGACCATCTTCAGCTCGCTGGTGATCCTTAATTCTTTACAGACACTGACAAGATTTCAAGATCCAGACTATAGGTAAAACTCTTGTTCATTATCATTTTAAAAAACCAAGTCTGATAGAAACTTAAAAGTAAAGAAGAATTGAAGGAATAGGGACTGAATATTATATGGAGATATGCTGATATCGTGATGCAGCTCAGTTATCTTTGACATTTTTTCACTCGTTTTTTTGCTTTTGGTCTAATTAAATTCCTTTGAATTCATTTTATTAGACCGAAGCCAACATTACAAAACGTTTTCTGGGGTTCTTAGATGTAAATGAATTTCTTCTTAAAGAACACCCAGATCTCCGTACAGTCAAATGCTTCTCCATTATTCAAGTCTTCGAACTCTTCATTTATAGGCGCTTGAAGAAAGGCACTTTCGCAAGAATAAAAGCGTACAAAGTTTTTTTTACTATTGGTGTTTTTCCCCTTTGGCATTACAGAGGTCTATAAAAAATGCTGGTCCACTTCAAACCTCGTGGATAATTGTTTAAATTTTAAGTTAATAAAAAAAAGCATAAGAATTCGTAATTTGTTTTTGTTTTTTTTTAGTGTTTTACTACCCTGAGGATGTGGGCTACAACCCTGAATGTCAGGGCCAACCCATGCCGAGAGGGGTACTATGTCCCAGCAGAATGACCGAGTTGTTCGAAATTAATTTTCCGCACAGGGAATCGAACCGGGGTCTCCTGCTTGTGATGCTGCTGTCTACTGCTAAGCTTGTTGTAGAAATGAAAGATGTAACAAAATGTAAACATGAATTTCCTCATATTAAGCTCATAGTCATCAGATCACCCGCACCTGATCAGAGACCTTTTATTTACTTACGAACATGGCTGTTGACCTGAGCTGAGAAACAGACTCGCTTTAGTATCTCTTTCAGGATCAACTGTCAAATTAAAATGGTTTCCTGATATTTATTTGGACGTTTCTAAATTACTGCATCGAATCTTTAAAAACCGGCCAAAATACATTGGAGCGTCTCTGTAATACTAAATTGAAAACAACGCAACACAACAAATCGTCACTGATGTCGACTGCATTAACAATAAACACAAACTTTGATTTCTGTCTACAGGAACTGAGAAAATACCATGATGACTTCCTACCTCTCATCAACGCTTGCGGTTCTTGCATGCCTTTGCGTGACCACGTTCGCTCAGTCAAAACCCTCTTTCTGCAAGACCTACGAATGCCCTCTGTTCAATGTTGATGTAAGTGGGTAATAATAATAATGATAATAATAATTGCTAATAATAATTATTATTGTTATTATTATAAACAAGAACAACAAGACAAGAAGATGATGAAGAACCTTTTTAAGCTCTTAACTTTTCTATGTAATTCATTTTTTAAACGTTTAACTGACCCGAGATAGTCCTAGATCCTTCTTTTGTAATATGTTTCCCTCACAATGATGATGTTGCTGTGGCGTCATCACTCATTTATTTTTTTCTCAAATACTATGTTCCTGATGAAGCCTTATTGGCGAAACGTTGAACTGTGAAAAATATATATTTTTGGAAATACAACAAGGTCTTAACTGTTTTAATACCTTCTTTATACAATGATGATGATGATGATGATGATGATGATGATGATGATGATTCGGGAACATCTTCTCTCAAGAATGTCATCAAGAGTTTCTGACTAGAGACCGGGGTTCCTTCGGATCAAAATTCGTTCCGATCAGAGTTGTAGGCAAATTTTCTATTGTTTTGGTCAACCTAGTATACTTTTGAGCGATTAATATAACATAATTGTTTTTCCAGTTTGATTGTAACGCTTTATTATTTGGAACCGCTAAACTGTGATATAAAGACATGCAGCTTGGTTCGTTTTAGAATAACAGAGTTTTCCCTTATCTCTTACGTTTTCTCTTGGCGATAGTACTACCACAAAACACTGATTGCAAAGTATGAGGGTCTGCACGGGAAATAAGCAAGCAAACTATAACTAAGTCGTGTACATATTAATCAAAGAGTTACCTCCCTCCACAGACGAGCAACGGCTACGAGATGCGAACATACACATCCGAGAACGTCTGGGTCGGGACCACTATCACAAGTAGAGGCAGCTATATGGGCTGGATGGAACAAAGCAGAATGTTCAACAGACTCTTCCGTTACATCAGTGGTGATAATGAAGCAGGTGTGTACCATCAGAGCACAGTAAAGTTCCGTTTGTTTGTATGATATTATATTATACTATCTTTGTCTGGAACGTAAACACTGACACCCTGTTGGGCTGGGGAGCATGATACAACGTGCTACTTAATTATCTAACAGTAGTATGGTCAGAAGGGAAAGATTTAATATCTTCCTTTAGTGTATTTGGGCGTTTAAGTAGATTTTTACAAACCGATTGTGTTATTTTCATGAGTTTATGGCTTCACTTAATTTTTATCTGATGATGATGATGATGATGTTGATGACGATGATAATGATGAGAGAGAGAGAGAGAGAGAGAGAGAGAG